TGTGAACTTGATGATAGGCATCTCCAAATAAGCTCATATAATTTCCACTGTTTTGTGTGTGTGTGTGTGTGTGTGTGTGTGTGTTTGTGTTCTTGGACAGTTGGTCAATGCCTTTGTTCATTTGTAAATACTATGCGGTCTGTATTATACAGCACAATATATTTCAAAACCTATAAGAGCACAAATCAGTAACATTGTCTATCACTTTTTAAATCAAGATTTAAAAGGTATTGAAGTGTTTGGATCGAATGTTTTCCTACAGTCATGATGAGTGTGTATTTATACAACTATGTGCTGTCTTTCCCCATTCTTTCGCCCTGTGGTCAACTATAATCATTTCAGAAATCTTAGCAGCTTCATTTATTTTTAATGTACTAGTTAATGGAAATATTTATATTTTTGTCACCCTCAAAATTCTTTTACCTTCAGTTTCATTATTGTAAGTCTAGAGCCCCATAAAAGGCAAGTGTCTTTCCTCCTGTACTATTAAGTCCCCAAGTTCCTTCTTACTTTTAGGAACAACTCACAAACAACAGATTAGATTGATTTCTCTCTTGTCTTCATTTCTAGACTACTTAATAACTTAACCCATATGGAAATCTGACTTTATTATGTATCTGAAATGTTCCTACAGAGTTGTCTTGTTCCGTAATTTAACATTTTGTTCTGATCTTAAAGAACTATTATTTCTCACTTGTCATCATTGTAGGTCAATTGAAATATCCTTGATGATTTACAGTTATTTAAAACCTCCTTCGTGTCTAACAGCATGTCTTCGATATGGTACATTATTGGAAAATATCTGTTGATAGATTTACTATCACAGTTATGCTAGCAATATAGTGCCTTTGGTTTAAAAGAACATTTAAAGGCAATAGGATAGATTAAATTGGTGGACAGCTGAGTGGGAATAATCAGAAGTTATAGCCCCTGTCAACAAACTTGTCTGAAAAATAAACATCCAGTTTGCCTTCAATCACAGGAGAGTCTTTCTAAAGGATAAGTGGGTAATCTGACAGTGTTAGAGAATGTGAAATGACAAACTTTATCATTAAGTCACAAAGATAAATTCTATTCTTTCCCAATTTACATAGCTCAACTAAATCTAATTTCAACATTTCCTGACTAGGAGGAGCTGAGCCAAATTATCAGGGAAAATCTGTTCTATTGTTCACATATCAGCCTTCAAAAGCACAGAATCTTTCTTCTAAAGCTAATATACATAACAAGCTCACCAAGAAGACCATGTATAGTCAGTTACTGACTCCCCTATGCTGTTTATCTCAATTTTATATCTTGTGTGTCATCTTGAGAGGTATTTTTTTCCTCTTAAAATCCTATCTGTTTCTGAAGACAGTAAAGCTATATCCTAATATGGCAACAATTGCTATAAATTTTTGTTATTCACTGAAATCATACTATTGTGTCTATTGTTCCCACTTCATTTTCAAGAATAAATTGCCTGAAATGTGAGTTAGTACATAAATATCCCAGTGCAAATTAAATGGTTGTCAAAAATGTTTTGGGGAAATTGCATTGAAGAATAAACCCAAACACTGCATGATTTGTCATTAAGCTGCTGAATTCTCTAGCAGTTCATTGAAAATCAGACAGGAGGAGCTCTTTTCCAAGTAGCTCTTTCAGTGTGTGTGTGAATGTGTGTGCATACTCCCATGTGTACCCCAAGCCAGTTTGGAAAAGGAGTGGTAGGGCTGAAGCTAATAAATGTTTCAAATCCAGTATTTTAATCAGACGGAAGAAAAAAATTTCCATGGTTGTGAATGTGCTCTGAAGCTGAAGAAAAGGAATTACCATTGACCTTGTTAGTTTAATTAAGTGATTCCCAATTAAGATACTAACAGAATGTTGGCAGCTAATGACATGCAAACTAATATTAGCTCAAAGTATATGCTAAAATTCCTGATGATGATATCAATAATGCTATACTACTATATGCTATTAAGCAATAAATAAAAAAGAGCATTTAAAGTATACACATTTGATATTGCACAGAGGAAAGCAAAAGTTAACCAACAGCAGGGATCCTTGTGGAAGACCATATGCTCACTTGAGGAAGGAAGCAAAAAACGAATTGAGACAAAATGAAAGCAACCTATTTCCTATTAATGAAAATTAACCTTCACAAAACTTAAGACCTTATATATTAAATATCAGATATTTAGTATCTACATCACGTAAACATTTTTTGTGACTATATGATCATATGTAATGGAAAGTTAAATGTAAATCATGCTTAACCATTTTTAAAATTTGTGCTTCTGTTCTGACTTAGACTTAGCCAAATTCTAAAGAGAGCCAAAGAATAAACTTAAAAATTCAGAGTTGATCAGTGTCAGTATTAATTTTAGAGGATTTTTGGCATTCTTTTCTCAAGATACTAACATCACTTAGTCAATTAATGCAATCTTTCATTTTCCATTATTTCCATGCATTTGTGAACTTAAATCAGTGTCTATATGGAATGGTTCACAGATCCTTCTGCAAAAGTTCTAGTTTTGTGTGCCCCATTACAGCATATGTGTTTTGTGGAAAGTATTAAACATTTTTTAACAGGCATTTAAAACCAGAACCTCTGTAAAATACAATCAATTTTTGAGAATTAGACTAAGGCGTGTCACTTCTATATCCTCTAGGGGTTTTCTATATATTTGTCTACAAAGCTCCCTGAATTGAGCTTTATATTCCTATTGATTACAAGGTATCATCATTAATTTAAGTTTTATTATTATTATCACTGGCTGAAGCGATAGCACAGCAGGTAGGGCGTTTGCCTTGCACGTGGCTGACCCAAGTTCGATTCCTCCACCCCTCTCAGAAAGCCCTGCAAGCTACCGAGAGTATCTCGCCGACACAGCAAAGCCTGGCAAGCTTTTAGTGATGTATTCAATATGCCAAAAACAGTAACAACAAGTCTCACAATTTGTTGTGAGATGTTACTGGTGCATACTCGAGCAAATTGATGAACAACAGCAGGACAGTGCTACAGTGCTACAGTACATTATTATAATTATTATTATTATTATTATTATTATTATTATTTTGGTGTCACCGTTATTGAAGATAGATAATTGCTTCATCAGATTCCTCAGAAGGTCAGATGTGATAATGACAATAAGAGGTCATTTATGATTTTCAAGTTCCTGATTCAATAAGAATATTAAGGGCAAGACCCAAAATGGGGAGAGAGTATATAGATGATCAGAAGTAATACATAATCTCAAGATACAGAGATTAGCAGAGGTGTAGAGACTTTGATGCAGAGGCACACCACACACACACACACACACACACACACACAGATACACATACAAACACATTGCCACTGCCTACCACAATATGCTACCTACCTCTCTTTACTTATATCCTACTTTTTATTAAAATCTGACAAGAAGCAGATACTTCCATAGAGCAAATTCCATAAAATATCTGCTTTAATATACTGATTGCAGTAACTATACTTGGATGCCACAAACGTTCAGATCTACATAATATTCTCTAAATATTGTCTAAACATTTTCAACATCTCAGCTCTAAGCTACAGAGAGCAATTTCTTCATTTCAATGATGTTTATGTTTTTCATGACATACTAAATATATTTTTTTTCATTCAATACATTTGGATGTCACTGTCACTGTCACTGTCCTCCCATTGTTCATCGATTTGCTCATGCAGGCCCAGTAACATTGTGAGACTTGTTACTGTGTTTGGCATATCGAATACGCCATGGGTAACTTTCTAGGCTTTGTCCCGCGGGCAAGATACTCTCGGTAGCTTGCCAGGCTCTCCGAGAGGGGCAGAGGAATCGAACTCGGGTCAGCCATATTGGCTGCGTGCAAGGCAAACGCCCTACCCGCTGTGCTATTGTTCCAGCCCACATTTGGATGAATAAAAAGAAATTGATTCTTAAAATTGTGTATAAACTTATTTAAATTAACCAAACTTATATTTATAAATTTTTTATTAGAAAATAGTCTCTAACACAGGTCCCATGAAGACAAGATGAATAAAATTCTGTTATATAAAAAAAAACCGTGTAGTTAATACATAAAGTTATTTCTCCCAGCATAGACATGGTAGACATAGCCATAGAATGCTTCTTCTCTTACCTTACCATTCACAAAACTATTTCTCAAACAAGAAGTACATATGCTCTGGTTGATTAACATAATTGAATAAACTCATTTTCATACCAACTTTAAAGAGTTCTTTATAAAACACATCATAAATGGGATAGCTAGGAAATGACACTTCACACACAGGAATACATTAGAAAATTGGCAATAGTACTAGAAACTATATCCTCATTTCATTTCATTTCATCATCCTGTTATTCGTCGATTGCCTCGAGCAGGCCCCAGTAACGTCTCTTCCATCCTAGCCCTGAGATTATATTCAAGGCTATTTAGGAGAATGAGACCCATCATTGTTACTGGTATTTGGCATATTGGGTACGCCACGGGGAGTTTGCCAGACTCTGCCCTGTGGGCAGGCTACATTCGATAGCCTGCAAGTTTGTCCAAAGTAGTAATGAGACAATAAGATGTCATAAAAAAAAAAGTTCTGATAAGATGTCGCGCGGCCGCATTTGCGGCCGTGCGGTTCCGGGATCTGGATTTTATAGTCTCTGAGTCTTGGCCGCTGATGGGATTACACGGCGCCAGGGGGCCAGACGGTGGCTGTGACCCCCGCCTACTGGAATTTGGAGGATCTGGGTGGAAGATGCTCGACTCCAATTCGAGTAGGCTTGGAGGTCTCGGCCCCGGAACCCGCGTGGCTTTGTCCCTCTGCCAGTACCTTCATGTGTGCGGAGAGTGGTCTCAGCATGGTGGTGGCTGGTCCTGGAGGTCTTCGGCTGCCGGAGCCCTGGTGGGGGCGGGGAGGAAAGCTCAACCCGCTCCCCTCCAAGGGGCCCCGGGTAGGAACACCCAGGCGCGGGGGCAGAGGACTGCCATATCCTCGTCGCTGCCGCGTCGAGCTCCGCCAGCCCCTCCCCCAGGAGACCGTTGCAGCCCCTGCTCCCTGGGCACCATGTGCGACCGAAAGGCGGTGATCAAGAACGTGGACATGTCGGAGGAGATGCAACAGGACTCGGTGGAGTGCGTGACGCAGGCGCTGGAGAAGTACAACATCGAGAAGGACATCGCGGCCCACATCAAGAAGGAGTTTGACAAGAAGTACAATCCCACCTGGCACTGCATCGTGGGGAGGAACTTCGGTAGTTATGTGACGCACGAAACCAAACACTTCATCTACTTCTACCTGGGCCAGGTGGCCATTCTGCTGTTCAAGTCTGGTTAGAGCATGAACTGTGCCACGCCCAGTGATCCATCCAAAACATGGACTGCAGCCTAAATCCCAAATAACCAGAGACTGAAATCTTCAGCCTTGCCTAAGGGAACACCTCAATCTCTGAACCTTTATTGTGTTGTTTTGTACAGGGCCTATTCTCTGTACTGATTTGTTGTGGTTATAAAACAATTAGCAACTCAGCTTACATTTGTATTTATTTTCTATTCCATACCTCTCTGCCCATGTTTTTTCTCCTTAAAGTTCATTCCTTTTTGTAATTGTATTTTATTTTTTTTAATTAAATTATTTAAAAAATATTAGTTTTTTTTATTATTATTATATCCTCCAACTTGTATTTTTTCTTTTATTTTCTGTACACACATTAGCACCGTGGTGGAAATCTCCTTTAATTTACCACCCATTTCCAAATACATCAATTCTTCTAGTTAAATACTACACTGTAGGAACTTGTTATTTTTTCTCTCTAATATTAAAGGTAAAAAAGGTAAAGGCCCTCCCGTTGATTGTTGGTTTGCTCGAGCGGGCCCAGTAATGTCTCCATTGGAGACTTTGTTGTTACTGTGTCTGGCATATCGAATACTCTCGGTAGCTTGCCGGGCTCTCCGAGAGGGGCGGAGGAATCGAACTCGGGTCGGCCATGTTGGCCGCGTGCAAGGCTAACGCCCTACCGCTGTGCTATCGCTCCAGGCTAATATTATTTTCTCATTTGTGGCACTACTAACTTATCCTAAATTACTTAAGTGATCTTTTTTACCCTAATTAATGCCTTTATGTAATTTATTGCCCGTGCAATTAATCTCCAGAATGATCTTCCTAAATCAGGTAAGGTTATAAAGTCCCTTGTGTTTGAACTGGAAAGTCATGTAATTTGTAAGTAGGTGTTTGAAGAAAGCAAATCTAAGAGTAAGCCCCGGAAGAAAAAGGTTGAAATAACCATGAATTGAAATACAAACACACTGAAGAGCACCCAAGGCAATGACTTTTTTTCCAAACTCTCATCCTTTTCAGATGCTTTGTTATTCTTGATCATCCACAGGGTAGCCTGTTGATATCTGTTAAGTAAGCAAAGTTCCACTTGAGTCCTTTTGGGTGGATATAGCTTGTTTTGTTTTGTTTGTTAGTTTTAGTTCTAGAGTCATACTTCTGGTGGTAATTGGGGTCACTTCTAGGTCTTCTTTCTGTGCTTGGTCTTAATAACGCTGAGAGAACTGTGCCATTACAGATATTGAACTTTCCTGCCTCAGATGTACAATTCTTTGCAGTTAAAAAGATATACATAATTCATGTTTATATCCAGAGTGGAGTATCCAAATTGTATGTAAAGGGAAAATAAACTCGATCTATCAGATTCACAAAAAACTGGAGCACTGAAAAAATAAAAGAACAGAAATGTACACTTAATTTAATGTGTGTGTGTTTCTGTGTGTGTACATGTGTGCTTGTGATTAAGAACACATATCAACACAAATATTTGTTTAATTCTAAATTTTTTTTTGGTGTTAGGTAGTTTTAAGAATGCATACCATCCCTATGAGGGCCAAATACAATTTTAATTAATGATAGTACAATTACCATTATTCATATTGTGAAGAAGACAGTCACAAAAAAATCAAGTTTTCCAATTCAGATTAATGGATTCATGGTAACTTTTTCTATTACATCATGAAGATATTTGTAACTTTTATATTGCAATTTTCTGTTGTTATGAACAAACAGTGAACAAGAGCAACTACATGTATGTAAAGCAAAAATTTGTCTACAGGATTAGTTAGCTACTGTATGGCCACAAGTAACCAGACCAGGCCCCTGGCCTGAAACATCTGGTTATCAATGCTGGGCAGATACTTCCTGCCTTGAACTCTGACAGACTAATTTGATTGATAACACTCTAAAATGACTGGACTCTTAAATGACTGAGACCCTTAAATGACAGGCTTCTGACAGCTTCTGTCACACACGGATGGAATCTCTAAATCTCCTCCCTGTCTCCAATAAATTTGGGACTTGGCATGAACCTCTGGACCTCAACCTTGTCCCAAATGCTCCTAGAACTTGGATAAACTGTCGAATTTGTCTACTAGTTCACTTGATACTTAAAGGTTACAACTTTGCCAAATACTTCCTTCATTAATCTCAGGAGGAGAGATAACAGGAGGAGAGAGAATATGCGCAGAAACTGATGAAGCTACGGGCCAGTGGGGCACCAGGATTTTCCTTCAGAATATCAAGAAACCAGATCTTGACGACTGGGAGAAGGGACTGAATGCGATGGAGTGTGCACTGCACTTGGAGAATTAATGAATCAATCACTGCTGCAGCTGCACAAACTGCTCACGGATAAGAATGACACCCACCTAGAGACACAATACCTGGATGAGCAGGTGAAGATCATCAAAGAATTGAGTGACAACGTAACAAACCTGCACAAGATAGGAACCTCTGAGTCTGGCATGGCAGAGTATCTCGTTGACATGCACACGTGGGTCACAGTGACGAGAGCTAAACCTTAATGCTGGCTTGCCGGAGCTACAGGTGACCTCGGGCCACCTAGGCAGTATATACACGTTGGGGTTACCCTGACCTTTACTATAAGTTCCAAAATATCTATTTGTCTTTTGATTTGAATCAGTCCTTCAAATAAAGTAATTTGGTACCCCGCCCCCCAAAAAACTGGGTCTCCTGTATACAAAGCATCCATTCCAACCCACTGAGCTATCATTCCAGCCCTGAAAATAAATTTTAGACCTAAGTTAATAAAATATTGAGGATAATTATGATAAATCAATAGGAAAAAAGCATTAAAATGATAGAACCTCCAGTTAACTAACTTTTGAGGTCAAAACATTCAAGTTTAGTAATTTCAAAACTCAAGAGTAAAGCTCTTAGAAAATATGTCTTCCCTTCCCTTTAGAAATGAAGTAACTAAAGTTCCCAAACTTTTAACTTATTTTTACAACATGGCAGTGTTTACCAACTATTTTGAGACCTGGGTCTACCTAGAGTGAGTCTTTTGTTAAATTCATCTTTTTTAAAAATTCATGATTTTCTTGCAGTAGAGATATATTACAAAAACATTTTAATGTGTCTTATGTGAAAGTCAAATACCATAGTTTTGCTTTAGTCTGATACACTCCCTGAAGGATTCCATTTATCTAATCTGGTTATTATAATTTTGTAACCAGAAAAATAATATATAGTAATTTTTGTTTACATTTTTAACATTTGCTTACAAACAAGTTATTCCTTCTCAAAATTTATTGGGTTATACTTGAATACATTGGGTTATACTTGAGTTCAGTAACCTTGCAATATTCTATATAAATAATAGCGGTATTAAAATGAATGGAATAAGTGGAGTACTTATTTTCAATTCAAGTTTTCAGGCCATTTAAGTATGATGAGGAAACACCAATGTGTATGTATCTTTCACTCTAAATGGTTTGAAAATAGATCTTCAAAAATAAATTTTTTTATGTAGCATCATTGGAGCTATTTATAGAGTACATACAAGGTGTATTTCAATACAGTACATACAAGGAGAATTTCAATACATTATGAGGAAAGAATTAGACTGCTAATTTCACTCACTGTAACACTGTCATCCCGTTGTTCATCGATTTGCTCGAGTGGGAGCCAGTAACGTCTCCATTCATCCCAACCCTGAGATTTTAGCAGCCTCTCTTTACTCATCCTTTCTAATGGTGCCATATCAGAGGCTCTTTCAGGGTCAGGGGAATGAGACCTGTTATTGTTACTGTTTTTGGCATATTGAATATGCCATGGGAAGCTTGCTAGGCTCTGCCATGTAGGCGGGATACTCTTGGTAACTTGCCAGGCTCTCCAAGAGGAATGGAGACTGTATAATAATGTATAACTGCTAATCTAATACTTTTAATTTCCCCATGAATCATGAAGACTTGTATACTCATACCAAACTTGTTGCATAAGGCATTTTATCAGAGACAGCCTATCATTCTAAAACTTTTCTATTGAGGTCATATTTTCTATTACCACATAAATAGTTAATGAAGCACAAAAAGTCTCTGGAGATTTCACTGACTTGCACACATTTAAAAGAGTTCTATGGAAATGTTTAATCAGTTTTAGGGGAATGATTTCAATGATGCTTTAATGGAAATGGTGGGTATTCATTCAACATCATGGCATTCAAGGGGGTGTTCATAATTAATTTTCTATTTTGTGAGCATATGTAATGGTTTGACTATAATTATTTTTATTATTGGCATGAACAGTTAAGTCAGAGGACAGAGATTATCCAGTTGTGACTGAATGGAAGAAATTTGTAATGTCACTTATTTTAAATTGACATTCACTCAGATTTAATCCTGCATTAATGAACATGTAATGAACAATCATTGGTGTTTTATTTCCACTATAACCACCATAATTATTATCTTTTCAATGAGTTTTGGTTATGAGTTTATATTGTTGTGAGTATACCATATTTATGTAAATATCTTCATATTATATTTAAATTTAGTGCATTTTATTTAGCATTTACTATGTTCCATGAAGTAGTATAAATACATTATAAATATTAACTCAACTTAATCAAATTTACTTATTAAACACTTTTGAATCCTTAGTCATTAGCATACTTAGATCCTTCTAACAGACTCTGTCAACCTCCATTCGTTTTCAAGTTTTTCAAATCAATAAACATACTGACATATTTGATAGAGTGATATAAATATTTCTAAGCCCCTCAGATGTGATCATTTCCAATTCTAAGCTATCAAAAAGAACCATAATTTTATTCTAATTTGCCTGGAAAAATTTTTTTCTCCTAAATTTAGTATTAGGAATATTGTCTTAAAATAACAACTTTCACTATTTCCTCTGTTCTCTGTTTTGTCTAACATAGCAATTTAAATCTACTCCTAGCATAATAGTCTGCTAAAATTCTGTATTTTTTTCTGTTATAAGTTTCTCAAAATTTCTCCATTTTCTTAGTGAAGCTGTCTCATAATAATTCATTGGCTTCCAATTTCCTAAAAGCTTCTGATCATATCAGGTTAAAAATAGCTTTGAATTTATTGTCACTAAGTTGGGTTTGTGAAATAATAAAAACATAAGAGCTTAAACATGTAGAAACATGATCACAAATCTAAACTATTAGTGCTAGCACTATCACTACTGTAACTACTTTTTACCATCATCTTATCTATTCAGTTTGTTTTTATTATGTTAGTTTCTACACTAACACTTAATATCTGTTATCCAATCTCAC